TTTGGCATAATTTGATTGGCTATCTTTGAAAATCGATGATCGTCACATGGCCAATCAAAATGAATTTCCCTCATGCTCGTGACAGGTCTGGACAGTAGAGCTCCTCACTCCGCTCCGAACAATAATAAAGAATTTCAAAATTATATGAAGCATAAGGCATAAAAAGTTATTTACAAATTTATTATTTTCACATCTTGTTAAATAAATATATCTTACGAACACAGAAAAACAAACAACTTAGAATTGAAAACAGTTGTTTATTATAATTACTATTTTTGGTACGCCGTAACATTGTGTATGCAACTACGCAGGTGCATGCATAATAAATAACGCAAGAAAATTACTTTAACTCCGTATACACATGAACTTCTGCAACTTCTCTGGCATTAAATTAATAATTTGAATTCTTTTTATATGATATAGTTATGGAAGCAGCAGCATTAAGTGCAAGTTTAGCCATATTGCAAAAATTTAGCACCAAACAAAAAATAAGAGTATCAATCAGTAATAAACATGCTGACTGTTCGCTCGAGTTTATGCAATATTATTATGCTGGTAAATGTATTACTGCTCCAGAGTCGATTGCTAATAGTGCAGGCAAATATACATCGTAAGAGCAGACTTACCTAAACTTTATTTAAGTCAACCATATATATTGTAGTTTAAATTTATTTATATTTGACAGAGCCTTTGAAGGAATGCTCGATACGGAGGGAATGATTTGTTACCATATTACGAAACCATCTTTTGAACAAAACCGGGTTTATTATCTATTAATTAGCTGGAAGGTAAAAAGATTAAACGTAAATTACAATTAAACATAAAACATAAATTTTAACTTTTAATAATTTCAGGCACAATTTGGCAAAACAAATGAATTTTGCGTTCAACTCAGCACAGAAAAACTTCCTGAAAACAAAGAAGAAAAGATGAATTTTTTTAAAATGAGACATACTCTAAATCCTCAATCCCCTGGTTATATCTTTAAGTGGCCTAAAGATGGAGAGACACCTAAAGTAAAATTTATGTTTACTGCCACCTTGACTGATAGGTGAATTAAATAAGTTATTTTTTATCATCGTTAATATAAGGTTCAAGCATTAATCTTTATAATATCCAACTACAGTAATGATTGTGAAATAAATGTTACTTTTAGAGATTTTACTAATTATGAGTCTGATCATTATGCTACGAGGTTAAATGATCCACAGTATCTAAGTATGATAAATAATACGGTATCTTCACGAACAGCAGTCTCGGCCGAAGTTATTAATAATACTAAAAATTTACTGAAAGTTGATCTTTGTTTCGTTTTGGATTGCACTGGGTCTATGGATAAATATATTAACGCAGCTAGAAAAAGTATCAGGGAGTTAATAAAATCTATGAACAAAGTAAATCCAAAAATTAAAATTTGGTTCGGATTCTGTGGTTATCGTGATTATAACAATAATGACAATCTGCTGCAAATTTTAGAATTCACCGACTCTCAAAAAGAGTTTGAAAATTTTGTAACAAGTGTGAGAGTTAAAGGTGGTGGCAATGTTTCAGAAGACGTCCTAGGAGGTCTCAATAAAGCCATAAATATGAAATGGGCACATGACACTCGTATCCTTATTCATATTGGCTACGCACCACCATACGGAACTCGGTTTAATGAGCCAGGAGCAAGAGACAATTATCCGAATGGTTATTCTAATAGATTATCTGCTGAAAATGTATTGGGTGAAATGAAGTCAAAAAACATTAATTATTTTTTTGGAAAGGTTGCCGAGAAAACTGATAAAATGCTCAATATATTTCGAAAAATAATTGGCGATTTCAAAATGTTTGATCTCAAGGCTACAGGGCAGAATCCAGACCATTTAACTAATATATTGCGTGAAGAGACTTTTTCGGCCATCTCACACACCGTTGTATCATCGAAAAGTCGAAAAAATGCATGCTTACCGCGGTACAATAAAAATGAACCCAATTGGTCCAAATTAATCATTAAGAATGCAACATTATCATCTTACCCTCCTCTTAGAATCTTAGATGATATCAAGAACGATAAATATATAATTAAGCAAAACTGCAAATCTAATGATCTTTCATTTAAAATTGCCTCGCAACCATTTGCATCTGGTGCTGAAAAGGATGTATATTACGCACTCGGAGTTAAGAATGAGCCATATAGTCAAATGGTGATGAAAAAATACAAAAATAATGAAATAGATAGACGTTATCTCGAATCAGTAGAAATTTCCTCTGTTGCCCAGTTCCTTTCTGATGAATTCAATTCGGTTGCTGAAAAGTTTAATATCAAGAAGAAGATAGAATTCCTTCAAGTTTTCTTTCTAAAAGACGGTAAACAGCGCTATAACGTAGAACAAAAGATCGATAGATTTGTGCGGTTTAATTCTAATATTGGCATAATTGTCAAGTACTACCCTGTTCTTGAAGCGTTTGCTCATTTTACATATGAATTCACTGATGGATATTTATACGTTTGTGATTTACAAGGGATCGAACTTGATGATCGGTTTATATTAACTGATCCAGCGATACACTGTGTTAATCCCTTTAAGTTTGGGAAAACAAATTTTGGTGAAAAAGCAATTAAGGAATATTTCCTGGAATGCCATACGTGTAATTATGTTTGTAAAAGGTTAAAATTAAATAATCTCGACAATTTATAATATTGATCTTATGTAACAATAATCCATATCGCATGGTGTTACGTACTGTAATGCGGAAAAGGCTTTTTTTTTCTTGCTATCAATAAATATATTGACTTTCTTTCTTATTCCTTTTTTTTCGTTATTATTTTCTTTCTTGCTCCCTTTTTTTCGCTATTATTGTTTTTCTTATTTCTTCTTTTTTGCCTCTATCATATGACGGTCGTTATCAATGACCACCATTTATGATTTATATATGTGTCGCATAGTTGCAGAACAGCCCATGTACTTGGTTCGGGGCATGTTAGCAGAGGAAGGGGTTAGTGAGCCGAAGCGTAACAATGAGACGTCACGGGACACACGTGATGTAATCGGGGTTAATTATGATGAAATGCAGGGTCAGATCGGGATCGGGTTTATCAATATGGCGTGATTTTATTAATATAGTCAATAATAAAGTCAGATGTAACCGATTTAATTAAGAGTCTAAAAATAGCGCTTGCATGAACTATGTAGTAATAATTAGCGATTAGAGATAATAATGCTTGCATGAACTATGTAGTAATAATTAGCGATTAGAGATAATAATGCTTGCATGAACAATGTAGTAATTAGTAATAATATATAAGGCTTTGATCCAAATGGGGAAAAGCCTAACTTTCGCTTCCGCAATTCCTTTTTGCTATTCTTAGTGAATAAACTGTGATCTGTGTGAATACATTATAGGTGGTACGATACTCCAGTCTTCGCGTATCTGCCAAGCGAGTGAAGTTTGATAGTAAAGACCCACGAATACACGGTAGTCTTAGAAACTACGTGACAATATGTAAAGTTCAATTGCTCTTATTTAAAACCATATTACTCCATACTATTTCTAGTTAAAATAAAGAACATTTATTCGTATAAAAGTAGACTATCTTAGAATGGATGAAACTAGAGATTTTTAATTCATCTTAATAATTTATTATTAAAAAATTTATTTCTTATTTATGATAATCAATTTATATTTGAGACACAAATAAGTAGCTCTCTGACTGGCATGTTTTTTTTTTTTCTCCAACTTCTACCATGCAGATTCTTTTCCGCTATTAAAAGTGTTACTTCTCAATTTTGTTATAAAATTTAGTACTGATTTATCCGTGAATACCAACGCTTGCTTTTATTGAAAACAATTAATTATGTCAAGAAAATGTGAATTTGTATTATGCGTCAACGCATAAATTGTTAACTATTTATTCATTGCTTGCTATTCGCTTCAAAATCTATTTAAAAAATTTGTAATATTCATTTAAAAAAAATAAATACTGTATCGATATGCGGATATAAAAACTTTATTTTTTGCTGACTTATACTGATTGTGAGATATCATAATCTAGACACTTTCACAAATAAGATTCGCTGTAGTTGTTTCTGAATTTGAAACCAGATTATTATATAATTTTTGAGTTGTCAGCTTCTCATTTCAGAGTTAGCTTATTTTTAAAATAAGCGGGAGATTGAAAACTTCCATTTTTTGTTTGAAAATTTGAAATCAGAAAATGAAATAGATTTATTCAGAGATAAATAGGCAACCATTTTTTTTTTAAAAGAAAACTTACGATCGAAAAGTATTCATTATTATATAAATAAGCTTTACAGAGAAATCATATCTATTTCCATTAATATGTGTATAAATTCCCAAGAATTACTCCAAGGTTATAAAAATCAGATTTCTTATCACGTTTATGTTTTGGATCGATAAGGTATTTAGGTTCGATATATGTCACCATTTCATGAACGCTCGGGTTTGAAATCATAGACTTTTCATTCATCTGCTTTGACAGTCCAATATCTGCAATCTTGGGTTACTTTTTGATGGGTTAGGATGTTCTTCGAATGCCAAATTATTAAAGTATTAATCTAAAATCCGATAATAGATAACAAGGCCTCTATGAATAATATTATTATCATGTAAGAATAAAGTCCGAATGCTATCTCCTTAGCAATTCATATTTTATCTACCCATTGCAATCTTGTAAAATTTCTTGTAGGTATCCTCGTAAAGTTCCACCCTCACCATATTGTAAAACCAAATAAATATATCTATATATTATTTATACTTCAAAAAATTATAAATCTCTTGTTTACTTTTAGTGACCCCATAGAACGTAATAATGTTTGCATGACTAAAAACTCTTCGTATTAGTTTAAACTAATTATAGTATATGAATTATAAGAATTTATTCTGTAGTAGGATATAATTAATTAAAGTTTTAACATAACAAATAATACCTCATTAATAAATCTTTAACATAACAACAAATAATACCTCATTAATAAATCTTTAATGGTTTCTTCATTTATGCTTGTATCGACTCTAAGACGCTTAAGAGCAACTATTAACTCACTGTCTTTCCAAAATCTGTAAATTTATTGTATTCGAAATAATCAATTTGCTCATCGGAAACATCTTTTTCAATCTATTCTGGTGGTGTTTTCTTGAAAGTATTTTTTGGTTAAATATATCGATTTTTTAAATTACGTTTAAAATTTGTGTGCAAAACAAAAAATTAACTTTACATGTAATTATTAAGGCTGACTATCGATGGTAAAATGTCTTCCTTTTCTTTTTTATTTACAAATTAATTATATATTTGCACATCTATGTTATATAAATTTATATATGTATGCATACATATTTCTAATTAGTTATCTTTTAAACTAGTCACGAGAATAATAATACAATAAATATGCAATTGCTGTGAAAATGGATCATGATTCGTATAGAAGGGAGTGACATAATTTGCGCCCTTTTTGACTCTATTGGAAATGGAATTTGTAGAGAAATTCTCTGTCTTTATCTAATTATACTTACGAATCTCAGATTAGCGTTTACTCACTAAACGCATTGATTCATAACGGATATTTCCTTATTTGAAAGAAAATCAGAGTTAAAACTAGTTTGATGTTGATATTAAGCAAAAATCATGGTAAAATTGTTCTCATGATTTTTATTAGTGCTTTAAAATAGGTTTAGACTCCGTTTCTGTATTTTACACGTATGTATTTTCTTTTCGTTTCACAATTTTCAACTCAATTTTGATTGGTTAACCAATGTAGTTCTACTAAATAAGTGAACAATGGTTCTCATATTAAATATCCGTAACGTAACCTAACCAAATACAGAAATACACGTTTAAAAGATAAACAAAAAAGATCTTTGTTCGCCTCTTTTTACAGCATACTTCTTTCTACCTAATTTCTGCTTGCAACAAACGAAATGGCTTTAAATGGGTTTTGAGAAGAATTAATAAAGTAAGAGCTTGCTTCTTCAAAAGGCAGGAATATACTTGCCTTACTTCGTTCAAACATGTTTGGACTTTTTTTTTCGGACTTTGGTCATTTTATTCCTTTTG